CTCTGATGCTCCTCTGATGCTCCTCTGATGTTCCTCTGATGCTCCTCTGATGCTCCTCTGATGCTCCTCTGATGTTCCTCTGATGCTCCTCTGATGCTCCTCTGATGCTCCTCTGATGCTCCTCAGCTGGTTTCCAGGAAAGGCCTGAGCCGCTCTCTGTTCACGGCGACTAAGAAGTGGTTTGGTGGAGGAAAAGTCCCAGAAAAAGGCGTCATTGAACCAAAGAGCACTCTGGGCCTTCAGTAAGCTCCATCCTGTCCTCAGACGACGCTGCGGCGTGATCGGAAGGTCCTGATGCTTTTCTGCGTCTCTGTCAGGTACCCCCCCGAAGCTCCTGAGCTGCAGATCAGGAAGATGGCCGACCTTTGCTTCCTGGTTCAGCACTATGAGCTGGCCTACAGCTGTTACCACACCGCCAAGAAGGACTTCCTGTCGGACCAGGCCATGCTGTACGCGGCGGGGGCACTGGTAAGGCACCCGTACGCTGAAACGGGTCAGACGGTCTGACTCCATGGAGGCTGATCCATTTTTACAGCCGCTGGTTCTGACCTGTTTCCAGGAAATGGCGGCGGTGTCGTCCTTTCTGCAGGGTGGAGCCCAGAGGCCGTATCCAGCCCACTACATGGACACTGCAATCCAGACATACAGAGATGTCTGCAAGTAAGATTGGTTAGCAGGTTGTTAGCTTAGCTTAGAACCCCCCCACCTATTAGCTGTGTGCTAACCACGCCTCCCCTCCTCCACAGGAACATGGTGCTGGCGGAGCGCTGTGCCCTGCTCAGCGCAGAGATCCTGAAGAGTCAGGGGAAATACTCTGAGGCTGCAACCCTTCTGATTAAGATGACCAGTGAGGTGAGGTTCTCCATGTTTTATCGGTCCCAGCTCCAGACCTGCTGCTGAACTCTCCCACTGAAATGCTGCTGTGCGTTGGCAGGACTCTGACCTGCGCAGCGCTCTGCTGTTGGAACAGGCCGCCCATTGCTTCATCAACATGCGGAACCCAATGGTGCGGAAGTTTGCCTTCCATATGATCCTGGCTGGTCATCGCTTCAGCAAAGCTGGACAGGTAACCTGGAGCTCGCTGCCTGTGGGGGGTGACCTGGTACCACCTGGGCCTCCATCCAGCAGGCTCAATGCCAGGCAGGAGGCATCAGTCAGAGAGCAGCAGCTGATTCACATAGTTTATTTGATTTAGGAAGATGTTGGGCTGCTGGAAAAAAGCCAACAGCGCTCTATAAAAGCTCTAATGACATCACTTCCTGCTGCCAGGAGGTGTTTACTCCTGGACTCTATGTTCAGCCTGAAGCCATGTATGCTAGTGATGATGACGGTGGGCAGGCAGGATTAAAATTGCCCTTAAAGGAGAATTCCGGTTTTTAACACTTTTAGCCCATTTTCTGTAGTGTCCAGGATGAAATCGAATGATCGACACCAACATTTTGACGATTGGTCCTGTCTCTG